AAGGTTGAGTTTAGTTGAAATTCTGGATTTTCATTTTAAAGACTGCACATATATTTTGCCTTAGTATTAAATGCAAAAACACAAAAAACCCACTGGTACTTCACATTTCACCCCCATTATTAATTAAGAATAGTTTTAATCAATTGTCTTGACAGGTCAGAACTGAGCCTCATTGGGTACTGGATGATTAGCACTGGTAAACCACGGTACTCACTATATGGTGTAGTAATAAGGGTTTATTCCATCAGCAAATATCACACGTAATCTCAAATGGCAACACTGGATAAAATCCAAGTAAAGCTAGCGCTGCGAGCAACTGCCTCTCAGCGCTTATTATAGCTGCCTGTCCCATCCAGCTAACCTACATCCGCCCATGGCCTCCTAAGACTCCACCCCTCACCTATTTACGCCTAACCCATTTATAACCCATCACCTCCAAACCCCCAACACCCCAGGAGCAAAACCAGATAACCTCATCACCCAACACGCCACCCAACATTGCAGAGGGGCAAACAAGTCTGATGCCTTCCCATGCCGCCCATCATCTCCACACGCTGCTGATCGCCTCCACATGCCAAACACCTGATGGCCCGCCCTGGTGTTTCCGTGCAGTTGCAGCACAGTCCGTGAATGATGGCAGTTTGCAATGCTCCCCCACAAGCGTGAGGAGGCTGGTGTTGCTGTCCCCACCGTCTGCCGGAACAGGCTGGGCTCGCTCCCCCCACAAGCGACACTCCTCCACAGGCTTGAGGAGGCAGGCGTCTGCTTTCGCAAAAGTGTTGGGCTCCAGGGATGACTGCTCACCCTGAGCCCGACATGGACGCCTTTTAAAATTTTGTAATTAAGTGCCAGTCACTTGCAGTAAGCAGAAGGTGAAAAATCTGAGTGAATTTGAGGATGTTAGAATGTTTATAAATTTGATCTGTCCCAATTCTGGCTACTTACCAGGAGTTTCTTCCATGATGTCAAATTGGCATCGTAATCATCTATGAAGAGTGGAGGTAAAGGTTTCCCCTGTCCAGTTATGTCCGACTCTAGGGGGCGGTGCTCACCTTTGTTTCCTAGCCAAGGGGGGCCGACATTGTCCAAAAACACCTCTGTGATCATATGGCCGGCATGACTATATGCCAAGGCGCACAGGATGCTGTTACCTTTCCACTGAAGTGGTACCTATTCATCGACTCAAATTTGCATGCTTTCAAACTGCTAGGTTGGCAGGAGCAGCGGCAAGTAACACCAGCTCATCCCAGTGCGTGGCACTCAGGTCTCAAACTGCCGACCTTCTGGTTGACAAGACCAGTGTCTTAACCCATAGACCACCATGCCCCCTATGAAGAATATGTACCTGAATACATACATGTGTTTTCGGATGATAATATTGTTGTAAGAACAACAAGATCCTGATCAGTTGCTTGCATAACTTTGCTTGCTCTTCCTCCATTAACTTTAGCCCTAACTCTGCATTGTTGTCCAATTCATTGCAACCGGCATCCTCATACTTGCTCTGATGACAGTTTGCTCCTGCTTGAATGTCTTCTGCTGATGTTTTGCAGCAATGGGACAGGGATTGATAGAAATTAGAGAGAAAGGAAACCTAGCTGTACTTTTCCCTTCCACTCCTACAGAATGCTAGTGTCATGCGTGGCCATATCGCTATAGCTTTTGTTATGTGATGCTCTTATTTACCCACCACAGTGTAAAGAATTACATTCATGTAATCCAGATCTATGTCACCAGTGAGTCCTCCAGAGCTCTAATCTCCACCCTTCCCAGCACCCGTTTCATAGTCTCATGTTCAAGGCTTAAAAGAACTTGTTTTTTTAAAAAATGAGAACATACTTATTTCATCTTTCCTGCCACCTCTGTGGGGTTTGTTTTTAACGTACCGAGGCATATACTTCCTTCTTTGAGTCATGAAGACTTGAAATAACAAAACTAACTGCACAGAGACTACAAAATCATACAAGTATGACATAAAGAGGAAGTGAGTTTTGCATAACCTGACCAATATAATGCATCCTATGTTGTTTGTTAGTACTTAAAGAGATCAAGGAGCAACTTCTGGCTGGTTTTGCTCAGCTTCCTCCATTCATAATAAGCCTTTTCCTCCTTGTCACTATTCATGACTATTTCCTTCCTAATCAGAATTTTAAAAATTGGATTAAACCTTATGGTGCTGACATGCCTTGCCTTTGCACTTCTGTACGCTCTGACTTTGTTTTAGGTTCTTTCAATTAAATAAAATAGATGAATGAAAACTTTTCAGATTGCAGGACACTTAAGTACGCTCCAGTTATGCTTTTTTTTTCTTTTATCCAGAACCCCACATACATCTTCTCAGGCCAGGGGTGTCAAACCTTGGCAACATTAAGACCTGTGGACTTCAAGTCCCAGAATTCCCCAGCCACAATAGGATACAGTAGCTGGCTGCAGAATTCTGGAAGTTGAAGTACACAAGTTTTATGGAATGAGGAATGACTGCTCAGATAAAATGACAATTCTAAGTTGCGATACTGCAGAACATTCTAGTTAACGTATCTAGAACAGCCAATAGAGAGAAACCTTTGCAGTTGCAATCACTGATCTTTGTAGGCATTTTGTGATAGCAACACAACATGCTGCTGAAGTTCCAAATGGTAAGAAAAGCAGCTTAATCTGTATTCTTGCTGCGTTTTGGCCTTTTCTCACTTATATCAGTCCATAGTTAAATAGCTCAGGAAAAAAAGGAATTAAAACTGATTCATTTTCAGATACATGTATTATTGTTACACACGCTCCTAGGTCTGGTTTACGGTCACAAATTCACAGGATCAACAGCCACATTGGAATCACTTTCAACCTAACAACTGAGGCACAACCCATTTTTTTCAGAATACTAGGAGATTTAGTGAATTTAAAATAACATCAAAACTTTACTGGTTGCGATGTACATTTGCTTTTTTCCGATACACACACATACACACTTACCTGTGTCCTTCTCAACTAGGTATTAGCCAGAAGGATGGAAGCCACCAAGCTGGGATCCAAAGATAACTCAAAGAGTGGGCTGGCTTCAGGATGCCTTTTATCCCCCAAAGTCCTTCCTCACTTTGTTGATTCTCAAGATCAACAGCAACACTTGCCTTGATTTTCAAGTCTGGTAGCTGTTGATGGGATGTGGGGAGGGGGTTTCCCATCATGCTCAGGCCCAATTTCTTTTGTCTGGTTCAGGTGATGTTTTTCCTTCATTTCCTTAGTGGATTTGTTCCTTCTTATCTATCTGCTTCTTACCTACCTCTTGATTCCTGACATGCTTATATGTCTGCTTCATCTTTAGGTATGGCAGTTTCAGCCTAGTCTCATACTATGAAATCTCTTTCTTTACTTTGGGATTGTTTTGGCATCAGATGCTACACCACAGAAAAGAGTGAAGGCCAGATAAGTGGGTCATCCATCTTTCCCTCCCCTTTCCCAGCTGAGTATGGTCCATTAATTAGACTTGGAGGTTAACAGGAGATTTAAAGTGGCTCCTTTTTTTGAATTTGCAGAAGTTAGACTTTTGAAGCATTGCTTTCTTGGAGGTTTCAGTTCTGATTTCATCTGAAATTGCAGCTGCACTGAGTTCAAGGCTAATTCTGGTCAATGAGATATGCATAATAACTCGTTCCTGCAGTTTATATGTCATGAGAATATGGCCTTGCTAGACTGGATATAAAGCAGCGTGTGGGAACCTGGAACTGACTCCAGGGTAAACGTTCTTTCCGGAAGATGTTTTCCAAACAACAGAGAAAAATTACTTCCAAATACCTGTTTTGAAATTAAAGTATTCTTCTTGGAATTCATTTCCTGCTATTTTTTTAATCTGCATTATATGTTTTCTTCTTGAATTAATATCGAGAAGAGAAACATCTGGAATGAGACATCATGCCAAGCTAGAATGTGATTTATTTGGAGGGCTTTTTGCAATGCAAGTAACAGCTGTAGTGTTTTATAAACCATGATTTATAGCTTAAAGCGGGGACCTCCAAACTTGGCAATTTTAAGACTTTCTGGCTGGGGGATTCTGGGAGTTTAAGTCCCTAAGTCTTAAGTTGCCATGTTTGGAGACTCCTGGCTTAAAGCATGGCACTGCAGGAGTTGTTAAACTGCATCTTAGAACAACCATAGCCAGTAGTGGGGGATGTTGGGAGTTGCAATTTAATGACATCTGGAATGCTAAAATTGTCTAATTCCAGACCTAGGTTGTATTAGGTTCTGGGGCTTGTTTCAGAAACCATGGCCTGGCATGACACATGACTTCAGCCACAGAGAAAATTTTGGAGGTACAATTGATCCTTTGGGAAATGGATGAGAATGGCTCATGCCCAACTATTTCTTCCTTTTTGTTTATTCTGTTTCAAATTTGAGAGATTTTATTTATAACATTTTTATGCTGCCCATCTCCCCTGTAAGGGGACTCTGGACTGTTTACAAATATGAAAAAGATAAAAAGTTATTAAAATATTAAAACTATGCAGATTAAACTTTTTGCATACTTTGCAGTCCTAAATATATATTTTTGGCTAGAACAAGTTGCAAAGGAACTTAATTTTATGGCTGAATTCACAGATCATGCAAACCCCAAAAGTGGCTCATTTGGTTCTTAGCTTAAAATGTGAATCTGACCTTTGTTACTTGAAAATGGTGGCCTACAGCAAAGGCTGTTAGAGATTTCCTGTGAAAAGCTTACTGCTAGAATTGTGAGTATTTTTATGTGATAAACAAGGACGCAGTTGGAGGGAACAGCAAAAAGAATTCAGACTTTTGTGGGGTTGCTGAATTTTTGGAAGAATCTGATTTTCTTCAGTTACTTTATGGGGCCATGGTTTGGTGAGGCAAACTCATTCAGTCCAAGATACGTTTTAATTCACCTGACATGCAGTGGTTGATAGCAGCCTTTTTGCTAGCAAATTCAGTGTGGTAGGAGCCTTCTTTGAGCCATTCTCCTTCAAGGCATTACAGATTTCTTTGTCTCCCTTCAGATCAAAAACAGTGCTGCACAAACCCGGGAAGTGCTGGAACAACATTTCAGCGACTTAAAAGGGACCTTGAAGAAGTTGCTGGATGAAAGATTGGCCTCCTTGCTCCAGGAAGTAGACAACATAGAACAGGAAAGTATCAAGCCCTTGGATGAGTGCCAGAAGCTCATAGAACAAGGAGTTGGGACAGCCAATGAACTTGTCCAGGAAGGTAGGAGGATCTGCCTTTAAAACATTTTCTTTGGGGTCCATAGAAGATTTCTATCAACCTAATGGCCACTGGAACTCTTGTATTTAATAGTTCCACCTGTCTGCCAAAGATATTCCATGTGTGTCTAGAGGTCTAAATTAGTCCTTTGTTCAAAATGCTTCTATATTTAAAGAGATATGGTTAAGACTTGCTTGGACAATGAGATGGCTTATACTTTGAACAAATAAGAACAAATAAGATAAGGCTGAGAAGGTCCACTCTTGAGGTGTAAAAGCTTGCTTGGTAAAATAGGCCCAGCTGGTATAATTTAACTGATCCTTCCTCATTATTGTTGTGTGTGTGTGTGAGGGGGGATCATGCAGAGAATACTGGGTTGTCAGGTTGAGCTTTTGTAAGAAAAACAGGGCATAACTCAAACAAATGATGATTATGCATAGAATGAGCATGCATATAAAGCACATTCATGAACCATTGAACAGAAATAAAATTTCAGATGCTATGTCTATTGTTGATCAAGAGTAAGGAGCTCTTGATGCATCTCCCTGTCTTTTTTTCCCCCATCTATATACACATTGGCTTGTCTGCATACTATGGTTTGTTGTAAAAACATAATGTCTGAGAATACATAAACACATTAATAGGTTTTACAGGCCATAGTATCTTGGTTTACATAAATAAAACATCAATAAAGCATGTTACTGAACTGTGGTGGCGCAGTGGTTAAAATGCAGTATTGCAGGCTGACTCTGCCCACTGCCAGGAGTTTGATCCCAATGGGGCTCAAGGGTGACTCAGTATTCCACCCTTCCAAGATCAGTAAAATGAGGACCCAGATTGTTCAGGGCAATATGCTGGCATTGTAAACTGCTCAGAGAGTGCTGTGAAAGCACTGTGAAGCAATGTATAAGTCTTAAGTGCTATTCCTATTATGGCTTCACATAGTGGATGAACCCTACCATTCTACCAATATTTTAATTCGATGAGATAAGTTTCAGACCCATTTGCTAGACACGCAGCAAATTATCATGGATAACAATATACTGAGAATTCAGAGCTGGGATATCTTAATCCAAAAAACAAATTAAAGATGTCTGTTGAATTGTTTTGGCTGTTGAATAAGATTGCAAGAGCCTCAATTAACAGGACTGGGACAAAAGGATGGAATATGTAACTCAGCTATCAGCAGTCTTGCAACTGCTTGTCACAGCTGTTCCTGGGCCTTCTTCTGCAAGGCCACAATAATACTTAATTAAACAAGTTGGGATGTCATTCTAGTCAGCATTTAACTCTGCATCATTCTGGACAAATGGCTGTCCAGCGTCTTCTTAAAAGCCTCCAGTGTTCACTTCTCATTGCAAGATGTTCCCCATGTTCAGGGGTGTCAAAGACCCATGGGCCAGATGCAACCCACGGGGTGCTTAGATCTGGCCTGCATGGCTGCCCTAGAAACAATGAAGGACTGGCCCGCGGTGCCTCTGTCAGCGAAAGAGGACTTCCATTTTTGCTGGCGGAGGCCATCCCAGCCAAAAACTGAGATCGGGAGCCTGTTTTCGCTGGCAGAGCATTCAGGCCGCCACAGGCGCCCCATCAACTAGTGCAGGGGTATCAATCTCACTTTCATCGAGGGCCACATCAGGATTGTGTTTAATCTCAGGGGACCAGGGTGGGCGTGGCCAGCTAGACATCACTCGTGTCAAGTGATGTCAAGCTGGGGGGGCCTACATGCGGGGGCCCTGATGCGGCCCTCAATGAAATTGAGATTGATACCCCTGTACTAGTTGATTGTCCTGTCAGGAAATTTCTCCACTGTGGTCAGAATGTAATGATCCATTGCATTTGGACCTCACGTGCTGTTAAAAATGGCCATAAATATACATGTTGGATGAATATCTGCAAAGGAGAAGTGAATGTCACAGAAGCCTGTGGAACACATGTCCTTGGCTGTGACGCCCTTCTTAATAATAACCCGCTGCTATTGCATTACAGGTGAAAATGCCATTTGTGGAATTACAACGGACAACAGTGACAAGCTGTGCAGTTTTACAAAAAAGGCTTTGCATATCCAGCTGGACAGGTAAGAGCCACAGGTTGGGGCTGGATTTTCACAGTTGGTGGCTGACAGAAGTATCCTTCGGTTGTAGAGGTCCCTTTTCCACTTAGGGTAGTTTATGTGAATGATGCAGAATTGCCGTTTCTAAGGTACACTTTAGACTACTTGATCTATTCAGATAGCAGGGTTGATGCTTATAACAACATCAATGTAACCTTCAGGTAGCATTATTTGACATTATTTGATTCAGAAGGCCATTGATTTACGTTGAAAAGCTTTCCTTTCAAAAGAGTAACCAAGTTAAACTAATCTTCAGCTAGAGTTGCTTTGGTTATTGAGATTATTATAAATTTAATAAAGAAACAAACAAACCATGTGCAGAACTATCCCAATGGGAAATCTGAGCACTCAAAAAAAAAAAAAGGAAAATCTCAGCAAAGCTGAAAAGAATGTACAGGTAGGTAGTCCTTGACATATGACTATAATTGAGCCTGGAATTATGGTCATAAGTTGTGGCATCACCTCACCAGACCTGGGTTTTGTTTTGTTTTTTACATTTTTTGGTGGTGTTTGTTAAGAGAATTTCTCCCCAGTGGGCATTTGATTTGCCAAAAACCAGCAAAACAGTTGCAAATTGCAGTCACGGGATGGTGCAAATGGCTGCAAAGATGAGCTGGTTTCCAAGCACCCAGCTATCACATGACCATGTTTGTGCCTATTGTAACTTTAAGTAGCTTTATGTGTGTGTGTGTGTGTTGTAACTTTGAATGTTTGTTAAGTGAGTGGTCATAAATCAAGGATTACCCGTGTAAAATTTGAGAATCTCAAAATTTTAATGGAGAAAATTGTCTTCACGTTGGGGTAGACATTAATTAAACCAGCCCAATGAATTTTCTGAATATTTCCTTGGTGAAATATTCAGTCAAGGAACTTAATCAATCCAGAATCTCTTTCATGCCATCTTCACCACCTTTCAAGTTTATATTTTTCTGTTTGGGAAACACCAGGTGCACAGCTATTGGCTAGAACCCTGCCTTCAACCTTATGGAGGTAGGGTTGGTGAATAGAAGTCCATAGCCTAACGTTTTATACCTGTTTCGATATGCTTCTTTTTATGATAAAAATAAGTAAGATACGGATTGAAGTGGCTAGAGAAATTAATCTAAGACATTTGAAACAAAAACAAATCAAGCGTTCCAAACATCGTTAAAGGATCTGAATGGAAACAATTCCTTACCTACTATGCATATTGATAAATGAATGTTTTCTCTCTTTAGTTTACCTGAAGTGCCATCGCTGGTGGATGTGGCTAGCTTATCTGCTCAATGGGACGACTCCTTTTTTACAATAATGAAAAGCTACATCTTCAGCCATGGAACAGTAGCATCTCGACCTCCGATACAAATAGAGGAACTGATTGAGAAGCCTGGAGGCATCTTAGTACGGTGGTGCAAGGTGAGTTAACAGCCTTTTCAGGATCAGGTAACACCTAGGGCTTTTTCTTTTGTGTGGTGCTTTAACCCAACAGCCTGGTGGTGATTTTGCGATGGGCAGAAACACATGACAGGTAGTCCTCTACAGGTAGACTACATTTCAGCCCAGAATTTCTGTTGCTAAGCGAGATCGTTGTTAAGTGAGTTTTGCCCTATTTTGCCACCTTTCTTGCCATGGGTGTTAAGCAAATGACTGCAGTTAAGTTACCGGCATGGTATTTAGGTGAATCCGGCTTCCCCATACACTTTGCTCATCCAAAGGTCGCAAGATGTAATCACATGGCCCCAGAGACTGCAACCATCATAAATATGAACCAATTGCCAAGCATTTGAATTTTGATCATATGACCATGGGGATGCTGCAGTGATTGTAAGTGTGAAAAACAGTCATGAGTCACTTTTTTCAGTGACATAACTTTGAACAGTCACTAAATGAATTGGTGGAAGGTGGAAGAGATTTGGGATATTTTCTATTACATGAAAATCTCTTCCTTGAGAATAGAATGTAGATCAGGGGTCTTCAAACTTGACAGCTTTAAGACTTGTGGACTTTAGCTCCCAGAATTCCTCCTCCAATCATGTTAGGTGAGGAATTCTGGGAGTTGAAGTCCACAAGTCTTACAGCTGCCAAGTTTGAAGATCCTTGATGTAGATCGTAGTTAATGCAATGAATAGTGATTTTTATGTGGCTTATTGATTTCTGTTTGAGATGGCATTCTTTTTAAATTGCAACTAATTGAATAGCTGTCCGATAATTGGCACCTTGTGAAATAGATTCTATGTGATTGTTCCTGCTTCTTAATATTTATATCACTTTTCCAGATATGTTGGGACTGGAATTCTCAGGACTCTGGCCAATGTGACTGGCATAAGACTGGAACATATCTTTTGTGTCTAACCATTCACCTCACAATAGTAATTTCGCAACTGTGTCCAATGCACTTCTTGATAATGCCCAGTGTGCTTCTAATCTCAAAACACCGGGTGCTTCAAGCCTTCGCCTTTCAGAGAACAAGTTAGTCAAAACAAATGTTTAAAGAGGGAAGAGTTTCAAGATATGTGATAGTGTCATTTACTCTGCTTAGGTTGATGATGACTTCATCCCGCAAGACTACAGACTTCAGTATCGCAAGAGCACCGCTTGCCATTTTGAAGATGTGTACGTTGGGTCAGACACTGAGTTCACGGTGTTGCACATCGACCCCAACGTCGATTATCAATTCAAGGTTTGTGCGCGGGGAGACGGCCGTCAGGAATGGAGCCCGTGGAGTGTTCCTCAGACTGGGCGTTCCACATTGGTGCCTCATGGTATGCATTTCATCATTTTATTCTGCAATAAAAAGTATTTTGGTCTTGCTTCATCTTCTTTCCCTGAGCTGTGAATCTAGCCTATTGCTATCATCTATTTTGCTCTGTATGATAACTTTTCATACTTGGGTACACTTGTTTGACAGTAAGGCCGTTTATTACACAAACATTTCATTCTATGGAATATTGCTGTATTTTCAAGTGCAGAGCATATGAAATCAATTAAATTGGTTTTTAAGCAACACTGTAACTCTGAGTTCTCCTTTGAACGTGTAAGTTTATTGATCCTAACAAGGCTTGTCTCATGGATTTAGCCCGCAGGTTTGTATGGGATCAGACCGTTGTGGGTTACAGTTAGTCCTCAACTTACAACCACCGTTGAGCCCAACATTTCCATCGCCAAGCAAGATAGTTGTGAGTTATGCCCCATTGTACAACCTTTTTTGGACACAGTTGTTAAGTGAATCACTGCAGTTGTAAAGTGAACCAGTCACTCATTAAGCAAATCTGGCTTCCCCTACTGACTTTGCTTGTTGGAAGCTGGCTGGGAAGGTGGTGATCAGGTGAGCCTGGGACAGTGCAACTGTGATAAACACATGCCAGTTGCCAAGCGTCTGAATTTTGATCACGTCTCCATGGGGATGGCTGCAATGGTCGTAAACGTGAAAAACATTCACAAGTCCCTTTTTTCAGTGCCGTCGTAACTTTGAATGGTCACTAAACAAACTGTTTTAAGTCGAGGACTGCTGTGTACAGGTAGTCCTCAAGGACCACCATTGAGGCCGAAATGTATGTTGTTAAAAGAGAAATTTGTTACGTGAGTTTGCTCCATTTGACAACTTTTCTCGCTTTGTTTGCAAAGTGAATCACTGCAGCTCTCAAATTAGTGACACGGTTGTTGAGTGGAACTCTGGCTTCCCCCATTGACTCTGCTTGTCAGAAGGTTGCAAAAGGAGATCACAAACGATCACCATCATAAATGTGAGTCAATCATCCGAATGACCATGGGGATGCCGTGAAGGTTGTAAGTGTGAAAAACAGTTCTAGGTCACTTTTTTCAGTGCTGTTGTAACTTTGAACGGTCACTAAATGAAAGGTTGTAAGTCGAGGACTACGTGTACATTCTTCTTTGTGCCCTTTCCTATTTTGGCATGTGTACAAAACCATAGCTAAAAATTAAAGCAAAGCACGCATTGTTTTCTGAAAAGGCCAGGCCTGTGGGGGTCAGCGAACGAAGAATATTATATTGTGTTTTGTAGTTTGTCCAAACTAGGCCGGGCCTCTGCATTACTGTTGCTTCTTCTTTCCTTAGAATGGACTCCAGGTATTGAGGGCTACAGCTTGAGCAGCCGAAGGAACATAGCCCTTCGAAACGATTCGCAAGCGGGTGGCATGCTGTATTCCAAGGCTCCAACTTATTGTTGTGGTCAGACGCTGACATTCCGGTAAGGAAAGATGGATCGATCAATTACCTGGTTGTATCTTCCCAAACTGAATTTTGATGGCATTGATGGCACTTAGACTCATATACTGCTTCACAGTGCTTTTACAGCCCTCTCCAAGTGGTTTGCAGGGTCAGCCTATTGCCCCCAACAATCTGGGTCCTCATTTTACCGACGTCGGAAGGAGGGAAGGCTGAGTCAACCTTGAGCCTGATGAGACTCGAACTGCCAAACCCCTGGCAGCTGGCAGTCAGCAGAAGTAGCCTGCAGGACTGCACTCTAACCACTGTGCCACCGCGGCTCCTCCTTTGATCTCTTCCTTTGTTGAGCTAGACTGTGTTCCAGTTACTCAGGATTGACTCGCTAGGTGTCACTTCTAGTTTTTAATGCTCAAAACAAATGAAATCTAGACTGTAATATGAACATCGAAGAATTGTGTACAGGTAGCCCCATTCGAAGGGTGTCCATCCCACAGTGTATAGCTAAATGGTGCAGAAGTATGAAAGGATTTCCAGGAAAAAAAAATTGCAGACTACAGGATTGAAGTGACACTGAGGGTGCAAATAAAGTTCCAAGTAGCCTCAACGACTCTCCGAAAAAGGGCTAATGACCACATGACTGCAAGGAATATAAATCCTTCCGTTCACCACCATTCAGTCAGAACTGAAGACGCTTCTTGGATGAGAGGTAAAATGTCTTCTAGTAAAACAAAGTCCAGTTGCCCCCTGAAAAAAAACAACACACATTTGGGACAGTCATGATCTGGACGACTGAGAATCTCCATAGGCATCTGGGAACAGAGTGAAAAGTGGAATCAGCCTAGACCTGTGTAGCCATAAGAATACTAAGTCCAAACCACCCCCACCACCCCCGTAGGCCAGACCATTGGCTGGAAAGATTCTTGTGCATAAACTTTTAGCAATAAACCAGTTTAATTGAATCTCCATATATAGGCCTGGTCTTTCCCACCAGGTGCCCTACTCTTTTAATCACTTCCCATGTTGCTGCTACTGCTTTTATAGCAGGGGTCTCCAAACTTGGCCACTTTAAGACTTATGACTTCAGTTCCCACAATTCCCCACCAGCCAGCATGGCACGGCTGGCTGAAGAATTCTGGAAGTCCATAAGTCTTAAAAGTTACCAAGCTTGAAGACTCCTGGCTTAGAGGTATTCAAAGCCCTCCATCCAGGGCACATAAAACTGGACGACTTTTTAAAGCTTATCTTTAAAAACCTACCTGATAACTTGACTGAATTTATTTTTCTACTTTAAAAAACGACCTAGAAAAATCCAGCTTTGGCTGAATTACAAGTCTAGCAGTCACCCAGCCACTGGGAGCCCAGCAACATCTGGAGGGTGACCAGTTTCTCCCTTCCTAGGTGGGTTCTTCTACTGTTGGGGAGCCTTTAATCACTTGAAATCAAAACATTCCTAGTTCAAGTGAAGTGCATTTCCTATTTCTGCGTGGAAAAAAGATAGGCTTCGTTTATTGGACATTTAGGTTTAGGGAGCCAGATTGTTCCAAGCTGGCCTATCTTTTGGTCTTAAATGTTGGCTTTCTCTGTTACTTGGCCTTGGGCTTCGTCCACCCCAAACTTTGTTTTCCAGCAAAGAGGAATGTCTGTCCTTGAATTCTCTAGATTTCCTTGGCCGGGCTTTTTCCTTCTCCTCCTCCTCCTCCTTTTCCCTGTGGACTTGATTATCTTTCTCCTCAAGGGTTGCTCTGCTCTTCTTTTGTGCTGGGGTTGACAGGATGTGTGTATGAAAAAGAGAGAAGCAATAACCTTTGCCAAACTGCAAAGAAACAATATTCAACCGAGGGAAGAAAGTCTCTAGGGAAGCCAACGGGGTCACATTTCATTTCCAAATTGGGGGGAAATTATCAAAGGGCAATGCGAGAGAGTTGTGGAAAATGGCAAGAGAGATTTTTGTCACAACCTAAGCACAAGCAGGGCAGACATGTTGCTTTTATTGTGGGTCTTATTGGAAGAGAACCATCAATGAATTGAACCTCCTTTGTAATGACATAATTGCTTTTGGAAACTGGAAAACACTTTAAACTGCCCTCCTCCTAACCTTTTAGCCTAAGATTTTGTCTTTCAAAGCTTGGGTTGGAATTTAGAAGGGCTGTGTTTAGCTATTGGACTTACTAATATTGGATGCTTTGGTTTTGATTTGATTTCTATACTTTGTTTCTGCCAGACAAGCTTTTCTGGATAGATGTTGGGAAATGCCCAGTCAGGCAAGGAAAGGGGAATCAATCATTTTGCAGCTACAAGAGATCTAGGACTACCCTGTTCCAAGCTCTTATGAAATCTTATCTATCTGTTCCCAATGAAAGACAATCTTTGGGGAGATTCCTGTATTATAGGCAGAATACAATAGAAGAGTTTGCTTGAATTCTGCATGTGTAGCTCTAGTTATTTGTACTGCACAATAGGTGTGGGTGGGTGGGTGTAAGAGATTTTACTTAATTTTATATCATGGATATTCTATAAATGCAAATTCCCAAAAGAAAGATGTGCAAGCTTGATGGAGTCTGATTTGATATATGTTTTGATTTTATTTCTAGAAATATAATTTCTTCTGACTAAGAAAATCCACACAAATAAAATAATTATTTATTTAGAAGTCTAAACCTTGAAAAGAGGAGGAACATTCTGTAGCAAGGCTCAATAAACAAGCAAAACGATGAAGCGACTTGTAACAGCTTTGACATTTCAATAAGAAAGAAACGTTTAACGGGCCACAATGGTCTGTAGCCATTGCCACATACCTATGCTGCGAAGCAATTGATGGGTAAAAAGGGAGGTTGCAGAGGGCTGCGTGTTGTGTGGAGATGCATGCTGATTGGTTCTGACTTCCTACTGGGGGTGGGGGAGGCAAGGCACATTCAAGCGGGAAATGTTAACATTTGCTATTGTATAAAAATAATTGCTGTGCAACCCACAAATGATAGCTGCTGTCATGCCCCTTTTGGAGTCTGAATCCGAGGAGGAATACGAACAGGGAGGGTGGCTCCATTGGCTGTGGAGGAAACTGGGGGAGGGCAAAGTCTGACTGGACAGAGCAGAGGAGAGATAGAACAAGGGACAGGGAGTTCAGAGGAAGACCCAGGCAGGGAGGAACAGAGAAAAGAGCAACGTGGGCTGCGTGGTTTACAGGGGAGGAAAGGGCCCTGATTCCCTTCATTAGCTACCCCTGGGAATGAGAGTTTAAAAGAAATGCATGCTGAGTGTGGCAACTGCTGGGAGCAAATGTGACTATATCCTGTGTTGTCTTTGCTTATCTGTGTTCCTGGCATCTTCTCAATCGTGTTGAGTTATTGCTGTGCTTTCACGCCTGGAATTCTTGCTCCTGCCTTGTTTGTCCAATTACTTCATTTTGCTTTGATTGGACTTATTATAATTACAGTTTTTGTTGACCACGTTTTGGACTTGATTCTTGGCAGCCAAAGGCTGTTCCTGGGAGAGTTTTTCTCCAGCCAGAACAGAAGATCGTGACAGCCTATGTGTCCTCGTATAGGGTGCCCTATTCTGTATTTCAGAGATTGCATTCAGTCATGATTCAACTTCACACATGTCTGGAGTTCCCTTCCCCATTCTGACTACTATGTAAGCTACCCGTGTTACTGGGAATCAAGCAATATCTAACTTCAATAAACAAATAGACATATACATACACGTATATGGTTTGCTTTTAGGTTGCCGTTTTATCCAGGGTTTGTGCTTTCTTGTAAACTTGCAAAACATTCTATTTTGAGCTTCTGTATCTGCAAGAAATTCCTGGATCGGAGCATAAGTTAATCCATATAACCACATGGCATTTCCATGAACTGCAGACATCCATCTAATAAAGATGCCGGGGTCACAGTTGGTAACCATTAGTTTCATGCTCTGCTTGGATACCTCCCAGAGACATCTAATCAGCTCCTTTTGGACATGAAACGCTAGCCTAGAGGTTTATTCTCACAATGGACTGCTTATGTTCTTACCAGCTAGAGTTGTAATAAGAACTAAATGTAGCATCAAAGGGGAACATGTCAAGCTTAATGCAAAATTTCCACACCAAAATATATTGAAGTCCATGGTTAAAAACAGTCTTTTTGAAAAATGTATCAGTTAGCAGTGTATAATTAAGGATGAAACAACTGGAGATTGTAAATCTCAGTTTTTGCTTTTTTTTTTTACAAGTAACCTTCTCTTATGGATTGCTTCCAGATGTAAGAGATTCCTCCTCCCTCTCCCCCATTTTGTAACATTAGCCTTCAGCTGAGTCTCTTCCTGAAGAAAAGGAAGACTGGCTAAAATATTAGCAGGACAATATGGTTCCTGTTTTGAGGTCTATTCAAAATCGAGGGGAAGAATTAAGTTATTGCTGCCCGACCTGTACTCCTTAAAAACATGGGGGATGTTTTAACATTTCCCTGTTTCTGAAATAATTGTGCTTTCATTTTTGCTGGCACATGTACTGTATCTGCTTCGTTTGAAACACAAACTGTTATAAATGAGATGGTTTGTAAAATCAACCTGGATTTTTTTCCCCCCTTGTGTTGGAAGGAAAATCTGGTACAGGAGAAAGACACTGGAAATAAAATGGGGGCAGGCTGCAGAAAAGAAGGTCTCTGTTTATTTGGTAGCCAGAAACTTCAGTGACAGCAGCATGTCACTTGACAAAATGGGGTCGAGAGTAGGTGGGTTTGTATACATTCTTTGGGACTTTGTGATTGAGATGCTTGTTCCTGTGCAAGAACATGTCCTTCAGTATTCTGATGGCTGTTGCCAAATTCCTGTAGGGTCATGCAGGGGTCGTGGCTGGCTCTACAGGCAAAAGGGGAAATGCAAATCCCAATGTGTTTGTCTGAGCTAATCTTGTCTGCTTTGGCTGGACTAATTATATTGCTTATTTGGAGTCTCTTTGCTTATGAACAGATTGGCCCAGTCTTTCTGAATGGATACAAAATCTCCATTCCTAAAGACCAGCCTCTTCAAGCTTCTGCTTGAGGCTGCTTTCCTATGGCAGGAAGCCTTTGTTAAGCCTTTTCTCCATGTCTCCTTTGGGGCAAATATTCTATCCTGCCTCTTTTTAATATTAAGAATAAAGAATATTTTAATCTGGGGAGGGGGAACTTCCCTACACTTGTACAAATATACTGGCCAGAAGAAGCAGGCCATTTAAAGGTTCATTACTTTTCGGTTCTTATCTCCTACAGGGCAGATAACATAACCTTGTAAGGTTGAAAAAAAGACAATAAATTTCTAGCTCTCGCTCCTTTTTCCATTTTACTTCCTTTTCTTAGCAAGCAGGATTATCTCACATTTTATGGTTGCTACTTGATACAGGTAGTCCTCCACTTATAACAATTAATTTAGTCATGTGATCAAAATTTGGATGCTAGGCAACTGACATGTATTTATGACGGTTGCAGTGTCCTGGGGTCATGTGACCACTGTTTGCAACGTTCTGATAAGCAAAGTCAATGGGGAAGCCAGATTCACTAAACAGTTGTGTTACTAACTTAACAACTGTAGTGGTTCGCTTAACAACAATGGCAAGAAAGATCCTAAAATGGGGCAAAACTCACTTAAGAACTCTCTTGTTCAACAATAGAAATTTTGGGCTCAATTGTGGCCATAAATCAAGGACTATGTCTCAGGGTATCCTCAGAGTCATAACCATAAATTCCAAATGGTTAAATGAAACTTGGAAGATAACTCTTCCTGATTCCCCTTGTGTGTATATTCTGCTGTTCAGGCCATGACATCAACTTGTTTGAAATTTCTTCTCACATATCAGATTTCTGCTTAGTATGGTACTTTCAACTGCTACCATTATTAATATAATGGAGGGCCTTTGTGCAACTGTGGGTTGTGCACCAATTACACCCTTTCCTGGACCAAAGGTCCCTAATCACAGTCACTCATGCCCCAGTCACTTCCCGTCTTGATTATTGCAACGCGCTCTACATGGGGCTGCCCTTGTAGAACATCCGGAAGCTCCAGTTGGTGCAAAATGCAGCTGCCCACATGGTTTTGTGCAGATCCCGGTGTGCACATGTTTCATCCCTCCTGTGGGAGCTGCATTGGTTGCTGATTTGCTTCCGGGTGCAATTCAAGGCGCTAGTTGTCACCTTTAAAGCCCTTCATGGCTTGGGACCAGGTTATCTGAGGGACCGTCTCTTGCTGGTCACAGCTACCCAACCCATTAGAGTGGGGAGGCAGGTCCCATCCCTGAGGGAGATACACCTGGTGGGACCCAGAAGAAGGGCCTTCTCCGTGGTGTCTCCCTCTCTCTGGAACATCTATCCCCCAGAGATTGGAATGGCCCCCACTCTTAATACTCTTCTGGAAGGCACTGAAGACCTGGCTCTGCCAGCGGGCCTGGGGAACCCAGAGCAGGATGGAGCCCATCAAGTGGCTCATGTGATCTGCTGTCGTTGGGGCGGGGGGGGATGGGAGTTGGGGGTGATTTCTTAAATTTATTTTTTCCCAGATTTTGTTCTATTATACTTTATTAATTTATTTGATTCTTTTTGTTAGTTTTTGTTGTTTTTTATTTTAAATATGGTTTTACATTTGGTAAGCTGCCTCGAGTCGCCATGGGCAAATAGACGGTAATATAAATCAATCAATCGATCAATCAATCAAATAAATAAGAGCACCCGAACACATTCTCTGTTCTGGAGATTCTGACAATAAATGCTTATTTGGTTACTAATGAAAATTACTTTGAGCTTGTTTAAATAATGAAAAAGTGGGACATCTGTTCATAAATAAATAAATAAGTGGAGGAATGTTTAGTCTGAAAGTGGTACCCTGTAGAGAAAACTGAACAATTTTCCAAAGGAATGGTTTCAGGATAATTAGTTCTATCGGGAAAACCAACAAACTGCGTCACGACAGCAAATATCTTATTAATTAATGCTGGCAGGCAGAATGTTGCTTCTCCCAATATGACTGGAAGAAGTAACTGTATGGCAAATAGCTAGATAATAGGTGAGATCATTCATCTAGCTGTATTGTTCAGAGCATCAGGCATGGTTCGCTAACATCACTGGCAGATATTTTCACTAACACTTGCTCTAATGTATCATTTTAGCTAAAGAGGCCACTGATCCAATGAAGGCCTTTCCTTATGCAGAACGTGAGGGTGGTTGGTTTTCCCAATCCTAGAAATTTTCCATCTTTAAGAAAGATGAATTGAGGCAAACTGAAACTATCTCACCTACTAGACTAGTTTTCCCAAAGCTGGTAAGTGTAGTGAGCGTTGAAGACCGATATAGGTTGGGATTGTAGGATTCGGATTTCAGTATATGTGAGGAACACCAGATGGGAGAGAGCTGAATTGCAGATTCCTAGACTGTGAGATTTAAAGGAGGGCACATTTATCAAGGACGTGTTTTATATTAACATTTTCTTCTAAATATAACTGTCTTCCCCCTTTCTCTTCACAGAATTGAAACAGTTGGCCAGCCAGACAGGAAAGATAGTATTGGAGTTTGTGTTGAGCGGCTGAATGACTATGATTCTTTGCAACGGGATAGAGCTGTGTGCATTAGTACCAATGGTGAGTTGCAAAAAGATCTGATTTGGCCCACCTTCTGACCTGCAATCTCCACCTGTATCCTAAAGTACTGTTATTTTAAGACCTACTGTATATAGGATGACTGTATTATGACATGGAGGAATCCTAAATAGGTGATAAAAATAATAAATGTGATTTTCCAAGATTGCTAAGCACTGCTTTTGGGGAAAGAGGCAGTCAAAACACGGATGTCCATATCCTAGCAGGCTTCTAATTTTCAAAAGCCTGACTGGGCTAGAGCAAAGGTTCACAACTAACCCCTTCAGTACTTATCATAATGATGATGACAGTGTTATCCATTCAGTCGTGTCTGACTCTTTGCAAGGATCTCCACATCTTTTGACCTTGCACTATTTCTTGGAGTTTTTCTATGCTCTGGCTGATGTCAGCCTTGATGGTGTCCAACCCTCGTCTTCTTTGATGGCCTTGTTTTCTCTTAACATCATAATAATACATCCTTCTTTTCATTTGTCAGGGGGGAAATTATAAAGATCAGTAAATCCTAAGTTTTATGTGTCATTAAGCTTCTGTACAGAGAACGTAGCCCTTGACCTCAAAAACTTGGACAACCTTTTACAACATTATTTTAAAACATTTGCCATACCACTTGTAAATGAGAATTGTGAACTGAGAAAATAATTTTCCCTCTTTTCTTGCTGCCAGTATGGTAAATGAGTATCATTGATGTGTGTGTCAGACATTATGTAGAATAGTGTGGGAATCCTAACTATTTTGGAGGCAATGAGCACTCTTATAAAATGGTCTTTCTTGGGAAGTTTAACCATTAATAACTGTATTGGTCAGGAGACCAACTAATGAGAATGTTCTGCTACTATATCTAGTTCCCCAGGACAGTTTCCACCATTCACTTTTGATTTGGGGAGTTGGATATGAAAGGGAAGAGACATATTTGGGGATAATGAAATTGGAAATGCCCCTTTGTTTTGCAAGCAAGCCAACTTAGGGTCTCTAGTGACAGGAATGTAATTTAATAAGGTATCCATCAAGCGTGTTGCAAATCATTACAGATGGTGAATTCAGGAAGCTCAGAAGTTACTTGATTTCCATGGGAAATTGAAAAAAAAAAAACTCTTTTGTGACCGGGTAGGTTCACCAGCATTTCTTATCTATTGCAGGAGCTGTTTTTGTTAACGGAAAAGAGATGACGAACCAGTTACCTGCAGTGACTTCAGGATCAGCTGTAACCTTCGACATGGAATCTGTGAATTTAGGCTCTTGCAATAATAATGGGGGGAACTTCAAACTCAGAGTGACAATTAGTTCCAACAACAGGGAAGTAGTCTTTGACTGGGTACTTGATCAATGCTGTGGCACTCTGTATTTTGGATGCTCCTTCTTGTATCCCGGCTGGAAAGTTTTGGTGTTCTAACTCTTAGACGGAGAAATAGTAGTTGTTTTCCAGTGTCGTCATTCAAAGGGTTTGGACTCCAATGACACAATTATTTGCTCATCCAGGCTGTTAAATCTGTGTGTCTTTGGTATATACCGCGGTTGGTTCAGTGAGCTGCTTGAGGCCACTTTTCTGTAAGATGAACATTACTTGAACTCTGTCTTCTCTACTGGATTCACCTGAAACATTGGTGAAACGCTGAGTAATCTGGAAGAGTTTATGTGAGGTGTTGTGTTTGCTATCGACATCATGCATTTTGAGTATTATTGTTTTTTTTAGAACAGCTCTCTCCATTTGGATGTTCTCCAGAGGGGCTGGACATGATCTTCCACAATCCCTAGTCAAGGACTTAGTGAAAGAGGGATTATAGGAGTTGTAGTCCACCTCTGGAGATCACCAAGAGAGAGTGTGGTTTTGGAAGAAAAGGGTAGAGATAATTCTGTTACTGTGGTCCTGCTATCAAGGCTTGGTTATGCTTTACTAAGTTTGCCTAAGTGTTATTCTTTGGCTCAGGGTTAATGGACCAAAACTGTATGTATGTTTTCCTGTTCATCAGAGTCTGGTACTGAAATGCTGTACTTCCACCTGTTTCTGCCAAAAGTTTTCTGTCCACTGGGCAATAAGGCTTTTTGGCCTCTACATTATCCTCTTCCTTCAGTGCCTTGCTATTTACTGCAGAAGAAATCTGAGCCGAGCTGTTCGTTTTGGCGAGCGATACCGATGTGCCTTAATTTGATGCTTCTGTTGAACAATATTGCACATGTGACAGAGAAAATTTCATTCATGGCATTTGTCTCTTCAGCAGGATTTTCCCGCTCCTCTGCACTCATTGCAGTGCCTTCTACAACTTATGCCTTTTTCAAGATAATATCACACAGTCCCAAAAAATATTCAGGGCGCAAATGTTTTAGACCTTTCCTGAACAACTTGTACGGAGCCTAGAGTTTTGTGTAGCAAGTCAATTATGTTCACCACGCCTGCCTTTATCTAGACTTGCGTTCAGATAAATTGTATAGAAACGGGTCAGGCCAACAGGGTATGCAAGCCAACTTGCAAACAAGGAGGTACCATATAGAAAAGAATGCATTGTAGAGATCTCTTGTCATGCTTTTTAGAATTTGGTTGACGTAACCAAGTTAGCAGATGAGCCAGGTACTAACTTTAAGCAGAGAGCAACAGCTAAAGCATTCTTGCTCTCAGCCTCTGCAGTTAATCACCATTTTGCTGTTTTGACTTGGGCAAGTAAAATCCCTCTTTTGGGGATCCCTCCTTTGTATGATTAAATTGCCTGCATGCCCATCTTCCATTCTTGGCAGCTGTTTCCTTGCAGCAGGGGTATCCCTATTAAGTAAGATTTGCAACCAGTTTCCTTCTTAAACTTTTAAGTCTTCGTTCCCGGGGCCAGAGGCTTTTGCTGGAGTCCTTAGCTGCCATAACCCCGTGTGAAAAGTAAGCAAAGAAAAAAACAGCTGATAAAAAGAAGAGCAAAATTCCTCCCTTCCTTTTTTATACGGTGGGATTGCCAGCTACGAGTTACTCTGGTTTGATCCCAAAATAAAAGCTGTCAACCAGTATTAATATTTGATTAATGGGGTAGTAGGTCTTTTGGTTCAGGAATATGTAACCTTATCTCATGGTCTGTTGCAATCTGATGTTTTCTAGATATATTTCACTTCATTTCCTGTTGGTTATCAGAATTATGGGATTGAAGTTTCAATATATCTGGAGGAAGGATTTGGGGGAAGGCTAATGGGATATTCTGTGGAGCAGAATCTAAATAAAGATGGTTAGTTTCCCCCCCCCCCTCCCGATCTCAAGATATTCTCTAAGAAGCCAGGATTTAAGGATTATAGAATCCTATCTCTGCCCCTCCCCGGTTTAAAATCAAGCCAAACCAAAATTCTTCTCTTGTAATCAGATAAATCATCACTTGCCTGATGTTCATGTGAATATAGACTGGGGAAGGATATTAATGTATTAACATTCCTCTTTTAGTAATGTCAAATGCAAACCAGATCATCCATATACTTTTTACCTCTCATTATTGATCTCTGTGAAAATGTATCTGACATAAAACAAAACTGGTACAAAAAAAAACGAATGAGATACTTTAGTTCACCTTTAGCTTTGTATGTTCATTATATAATAGTAGGTAGAAAGTTCCCCCTTCTTTTTAGTATGCTACATATAAATCAGAATTTGCAAAGGTATTCAGACATGTATGTATGCAGTTTCCTCTTCTTGAAGGATTGCCACAGGACATTTGCAATCCCATGTATACCATACAAAATGCCTTTACTAAATAAGTAACTTCTTTATATCTGAAGACTTAATCCAAATGTTCTACTTTTAGAAGACCAAAAAAATGTAAATCAAATTTTAAAACAGCCGGATGCTATCCAGATGTCTGGATTGTAGTTCTTATCCTTCCCTTGGATAGAGTTTTTGAATATACCACAGACCTCTGTCTTGTATGAGGAAGGCATGCAGATGCTGAGTTAATAAGGAATTTTTTTCCCATTTCTGAAACTTTTGTAAAAGTTTTTTTTTGCTATAGAAATAGAAATTTGTTTCACCAGGAAAGACTGACTTGCTGCAGTTGGGGATGGAGGAGAAAGAGGAAATAGAGAGATTATATCTCTTGAGAGGGTAAAGTCTGTTTTTTTAAAGCTATAAAATAGGAAAGTTATTCAAAAGCTTACCTTGAACCTGATATGAGCAGCAAAAATTTTCAGAAGGAATTGAATCAGTATTTTAGAGCCATAAGAATTCTGAAAAATCAGACAGCATTATTCATATGAGGTGGCAATACTTGGAGGCAAAGCTAGCGCGGAATTATGTTTTGTATGCACTTGTATGTATTTACCTCAAGATACTTTGTATCATGACTTTTTAATAAAGATTTGACTTTATTGTACCCCACCTAGTTGTGGTGAAATCTTTTCTCTGGAGGTTCTCATTCATCCTGGTCAGGGTTGCGTCAATGGTGCTTTTATTTTAAAGGCAAATGGATTTTCTGATTTAAAACAGAAAGTCCAGCTGCCTTTAAAATGAAAAAATACCTTTGAGTCTTTTCTGTGTTGATCTTCAGAGATACAACAGGAGATGAAAGCAAATAGAAGATAAAACAGTTGCTTAAAGCTAAGGAAAGGTTTCTTTGCAGGAAAATTTAGTTCCAAATTTAATCTATTATTTGTAAAAGCCTACAGTACCTTTTGATGGTGTCATGGCCCTCATTTCCAGGAATTTTGAAGCAGTTGTACACATGAACAGAGACGAGACTCAAAAGTTGTAAGATGGGATACAGAATAAATCTGATGTTTTTAGCATTTTTGGTAATGAGTCAATACAGCAACAAAATGAGCTTTTGTTTCTGTTCTGCGAAGACCCAAATTCTTTGAAAGTGTCTGATTGAAACTTCAGGTACAGAAAATTAGGAGCCATTCTTCAACATTGTAAGTCTTGCTTTCAATGGAAGCTCAGTAGACACCTGCCATCCTATTAAAAGTTTTAAAAGAAAAATTTAAATAATCAGAATTATTTACTTATTTTATTCAAAGTTTGAATACTGAAGAAGTTGCTTTTGGGAAGTAACTTAGCTCAATTTTGAAAATGTTCATTGCCTTTAGTACCAAAACAAGATACCAGTGTAGCAATTAGCAATATACAGAATAAGCCTTCAGGGCTTAGCAGTTTTATTCCCCAGAAACTTGGTGCTGAACATTGCATCAGCTCATAATGGAACATAAGAGAGTTTAGTAAATGTATGAACAGAGGTATACATATCTGCCAATTTATATCTCACACAGAAAAATTGCTCCTAGAAATAGCTGATCACCCCTCCTTAAATTAGGGCAAGGGGTTGGTTCAGAGGTTAAGGCGCTGATCTTGTCGGCTGGGAAGCTGGCAGCTCAAATTCGAAACCTGAGTGCCACACAACAGATGTGAGCTCCCGTCCTCACTCTGGCTCCTGCCAAGCTATTAGATATTACTGCAATTGATTTTCAGTATGAACAACTTCAAGAAACAGTTAGCTAAATGATGAAAGGACCTTATATGTAGCTAAGGTAGAGGAGGATGAAGCATGAACAATTGAGCAGGCCACATATTAAGTTTTTAAGCAATTACATTTTATGCCTTGAATTCAGCACAATACTAATAGCAGCTGAAATAAAATGCTAGAACTATTTGCTGAATTCCCATTAGAAAAAATTGAAAAACAGGTGGTCCTCGACTTAAAACCATCTAATAACTGTTCAAAAGCAAATGGCACTGAAAAAGTGACTTGTAACTGGTCCTCACATTTAAAACTACTGCAGTGTCCCTATGGTCACCTGATCAAAATTTGGGCAGTCAACCAGCATACACAGTCACATGATTGCTATTTGAATCTCCCCAGGGGCACCTGACAAAGTCAATGGAGGAAGCTGGATTTACTTAATGATCTTGGTAAAAAAAAATGACAAAAAATTGATGCGATTCAATGACCATATCGCTTAGCGAGGGAATAGAAGTTTGGATCCCTATTGTGACCCAAGTTGAAGATTAGAAAGGCTGCAGTTACGGCCCTGGTTGAATTTGTATAGATCAGAGACATACATTTGGAAGTATGTTTTTAACCATCTGAATTTTCTAAAATATTTCTACTTGATGTTAATGTTGTGAAAAATAATTGCTTTATGTATTTTACTGATTGGCAGACAGGAAAAGAAAATAATGTTTTGTTGCCTGTCTGAAAATTGACCATTTCTGATCCTTTCATAGACAATCATAGCATCAGACTTTGAGATACTATTGGTATGTTTTATCTTGATTACGTTTACTTTAACTGTAAATCTTTTTTTAAAGTATTATATCCAGAATGCAGGCAGAAAAAGCCCATTTCAAGCCCTATTAAAGATCACAATTAGTCCAAATGCAAATACTACATTCCCCCCGCCCCCCAACTAAATTTTCCTGGTTCTGAATTTACCATGGCATATATATGAAAAGATTCAACACGACACCTTCACAGATTTTACATATTGAACTTTATGTACAAAATTCAATTTCAAATAAACATTTAATGTAAAAACAAAAGGTTCATTAAACAATTGTCTTTATCTACTGTACCATTCAAATGTTCATCCAGTTTACATGATTTCTTCAAAGTCTCATTAAGAGTACATATAGAAAATCCATCTTTATTATAAATAGAAACAAAGGGATTCTCAGCTTTTATTATAAATGGACATGACATACAAAGTTTACTTGACAGAAGTAATTTGATTACTATTCTGGGGGGTCATCAACTTTTTGTGCAAAGAATGCTAGCCTCCTTTTAAGCATTGAGAGCGTAGCGTGACTGCTTAAGTGACATAAGCAATAACTCTACATCTATGTCTCTCCTAAAATATTTCTTTACATATGTGCACAGCTTTAGCAAATTAAAGCCCAAGAGAAATGCTTGCCGGCTATTCAGAGGTGTAATTAGAGTTTGCTACAACTCAGAGCAGACAAAAGACATCTAATGAAAACTGTAGTCTCCCTCTTTGCTATTGACACAAATCTGTGACTAAGAATTTAATACTGGATGACAAATCACATCCACACCATTAGTTAAATAGTCTCACAGTTAAACACACCTTTAGGGACCAAAGTCAGTATTTACAGTTTTTATAAAGTTTTGAAAATCTCCATTAGGAAGCTTCTTCCCCACCTATTCCAAAGCCAAAATCCAAAACAGGGAACTGCCTCCTTACGATGATGGAATGAAATAAAAACAAATGTTAAATTGTATTTACATAACTGATCCTTTATAAATAAGGAATATGAAAAATGAACTATAAGAATTTTTTTTAAAAAATGAGGTGATGTCACTCAACCACAGTGCTTGCTGGAACAAACCCTTGGTGCTGATACTGTACCAGTAGTGAAGCTACTTTCCATTGGAAAAAAAGAAAATCTGTAAACATATGCTTTAATGTGTTAAGAGCAGTGCAAGACTGCACCAGACTTTTAGTTAGCATCTGTATTAATGCAATACATCACGGAATACTTGCAAAAGAAGTGCAACACATTTTCTGGATCAATTTTACAGTGTATTTCCCCCCTTAAAAGTAGCATCTAAAAGTCCCAGGTTAACTGTGCTTTGATTCTGTAGTCTGTATACATGCAAATATAGGCAGAAGTTCCCACCATAACCTGAAAGTGTTAAAGCAGCATATCGTCATCTTCATCTGCCCTAAATAGTCTGATCTCATATACCAGATGATATCAACAAATTCTTTTAGGCTACTGGCACAATTAATATAGTATATCCCTGTGTTTGCAATAGATAAAGCAATTTCCCCCCTAAATGGACATTATAGAAGTGCAATATTACACTTGAATGCTTAAAAAGGTATTTAAAAACTGCAGCCTTCTAATTTGATAGAATAAAAACAAAAAGATCAAATTTAAATGATACATTATTTTCTACAAAAAGGAAACAGAACTTTTTAAGTACAAATTATAAACTGTTCCACTCTCTTCTCATTTTTAACTCCATGGTAGGAAAGTCAGCCATTACTGATGCAAAAATCTTTATATAAAAACTGGTTTACATATACTTAAGTTATGTAAATTCAGTACATCTCAT